TATCATTTAGGAGTTTTGGTGCAATTGTTAGGGAATTTAAGATGACACCAGAGCAACCGGGTTCAAATCCCATTGGTCGTGAATTTAAAACGGATTTTCTAAAAATTGACACTTTTGAGTGAGTCCAGATTTCGTCGCATATGAAGGATGCGCAACCTGCCGGGTGGTGTAATGCTTAGGGACTTTAAGTGAAATAGATAGTATTTACCCTTAAAATAAAAATATGTATACAACGTTAAGTATATTAGGATTAAATAATAATGTCATTTGATCGAGTGAGTGCTATCAAAATTCAAACTTATTATTATTATTATTATTTAATTTTATTTTTATTTTCTTTTTGCGCCACACAATCACATAATTTGTTCACACTCCTTCCAAGCCCATAAGTTTGCATATAGTTTAGTCAAACAAGATTTCTCACCAATTCACATTAGTTTGATTAACAATCGAAACTTTGTAGAAAAACCAAATTTAGATCAAATAATACAGAACAAGATCTACCATCTAAACCTTAAACAAGCACCAAACTTATCATCGAAAATAAAATAAACAAACCAGATCCCTTATTTTTTACATCCAAACCCCGGTATTTTCACACAAATTACATAAAACCCCAAATAACTTACCCAAATTACGCGCAAGCACACGAATTCTCGATCGTCACGAAATCATCATCGCCTCACACTCGAAAACGCCGCCAAATACCCGCCGTAAACCCAAGGCATACAGCGATCAGCACGCCCGCCGTTAAAAGACATAACGGCGAGCATGCAGCATGTACCCGATCGCCGCGTTGATCCGAAGCAGGCGGAGACGGCGATCTTGTTCGCGCCGGTAGCGCCGCGGCGGCCGCCGGCGACGCCGTTGAGGAGAGGGGCGTCGATCGGCGAGGGCGCTTTCGTAAATTTGAGGAGCCTTGAGTTTGATTCGCGGGGACTCGAGGTATTGATAGAAGGCGGCGAGGAGGAGGAGGGCGAGGAGGGAGAGGAGGTAGCCCAGCCAAGAATCGGTTCGCCAGCAGTCGAAGAGGATAGTTACGGTTTTGCCCCAGTAGAAGGTCATGTGCATCATCTTTGCTGAGGGGTGGGAGAGGGGCAGGATTGGGATTTGATGGAGGTGAGGAGGAGCTCTGATTCGACGGAAGAAGGGATTATCGGAGTGCGAAGGGTAATGGGAGAATTTATAAGGGAACTACTGTTTCTTGTTTGCCCCTCAAGTTGATAAAATTTGCTCTGGGTATTTAAGTGATATGCACGGGCCGGGCCGGTTTAGGGCCGTGACGCGGCCCCTAGATTTCAAGGTCGGGCTAGGCTTGACCCATGTCAGATTGGGTCAAAGTAGGCGAGACCTACTTCTTTGATTTCGGGCCTGGAGCTGGACTAAGTCCGGCCCACGACCCACCTAGGTGCGGGCCAGGTCTGACCCGACCCACAGATCATGGGTCGTGGGCCATGCAATGAGTTTTTTGTCCATCTTTTTTTAACATTTTTAATTATATAAAGAAGGAGCTATTCGAATGAGCTACTCGAAGGATCCCGGCGAACTCCAGCATAAAGAATGAGCTATTCGAAGGATCTGAAGCCCGTATGTCTGTTCCCTGAGATTAGGTTTTGTCTTAATCTCGAGAAGAGCTACTGATTTCGCATGGCCGATTTTAGCGCTTCAATCAAATACTCCCTCGGTAAAGGCGAAGCTCTGCCCAGTTTTTCATCAACCGGATTCAGATCTAAGGCGGTCCACGGATATCAAAATCCCCGACACAGGCAAAGATCCCGCACAAGCAGAAGACTGATAAACGATCTCCCGGCGTTTGTTTTGATGAGAGTTGTAATTTTTGTTTTCATTGTGTAAGAGTCTTGTAAAAAGACTATCTTTTTTCGTTTTCATTATAACGACTGAAGTTGTAATGAATACCGTAATGAATACATCAAATTTCGACACGAACAATCACTAAAGCGATCTCCCGTCACTCATAAATCGACACATATAGGGCAAAAGGGTGAGTTAACTTCCAGCTCACCCCTCACCACCATCTACCGTACACTCACGATGTGACTAATCTGCCCTTGGCATCCTCTATAAGTACAGACGCTATTTGTCATAAAAGAGAGATCGTTTGGTTTTTTTACAATCTAAAACCCCCCATAAAGCACATACTACTCATAGAGAAGAACACACTATTCCTCTTTCACCCCACTTAAGTTCACCAACTGACTTGATCGTTGGAGGTACCACGGGGAAAACAAGCATTGTTCTCTTACGATTCTTGCGTGTGCAGGTTATTTGTCCATCCTGAGCTCTAAGAACCAGACATAAAGTCGAAGTAGAAAGCGACCCCCTCGACGACTCAACCCCTCGATAACTCAACAACTTCGTAACTTCGATCAACTGTGTGATCTCGGACATCAACAAATATAATATTATACTATTATTCATATAGTGTAATATTATTAATAATGTTAATATTATGTTATTACTAGTATGTTATTAAAAAATTAATATATTATAAATATTTTAATATCATATAATATGTTATAGTTTTTAATATGTTAGAGCTTATTAATAATACTTTAATAATATATTAATAATATATGATATAAATAAATGTTATTATAAAATTATTTTACTTTATAGTAAATTATATTATTTATTATATAATATATCAATAATTTATATATTATATTATATTTACTATACAATATATTATTATAATAATACTATTATATTGTTATTTTATTATTAATATTATATAACATTTTATAATTATTAATTTTTATTACAATTTATTTATTAAAAATTAATAATATTATAGCGATTATATTATTGTATAGCATATTATTATATTAATAATATATTATTATTTATTATTGATAAACTTTTTTAATTAGTTTACTTATATTTTATTATTATAAAATACATTATTAACATATTACATACTAGTATTTAATATGTTATTATATTATTATATAAGATATTTTATTTATTATATTTTTATATTATTTAATAAAATTTACTATATTCGATGAACTATAATATAGCATAGTATAGTATAATATAATATAATAAGCATGTTGGTAATAACTCTATATTAATTACATTTAATATATTATGTTAGATATTAATATTAACACATTCGTAAATTCAAAACTAAAACACCAAACATAAAAACACCAACGGGGTATTTTGAAATAAGTGTTGTGTTTTTTATTTGAGAATGATTTAGCTCAAAAAACATCATGGTTTTCAAACACATGGTGTTTTAATTTTGACAAAAACACCAAGTTATCTAAACGGAGCCTTAAGTGTTTGGTTTCCTCAATAAAACCTCTCCGGACTGGTTCAGTAATTTTAGTGAACATAGAGGGTTCTTGTGAAACCTAATACGAACAAAGCTGCAGTACAGCTGTACGATTCCGCGCTCGTACTGCAACTATGCGACGCCGAGGGGCGTTGAGAACAAAAGTGGATGCAGCCACCGTAACAAAGAAACTTACATTGAAATCAAACAGCCTCCTAATTCCCAAGCTACGCTGCTCACAAACCTGATTTTCATTTTCTGACAAATTCAATGTTTTTTCTATTCCAAACTTTTCAATTTTTATATTTTGCTTGGTTGAATATAATGTTTGCATGTAAAAATTGTATTCCTTCGCTTCAAAAGTTTTTCGACAGAAGAAGAAAGTTCACCACTTGATTTTGGCAATTTACCTTATTAGCAAACTTTCCATCAAAATAAACAAAAATGTTTGATTTTCAATATCGACTTTGGCAAATTTATCTGCGAGGAACTTTTTTATTGGATTTCAGATAATTTCATGGAACCAAACTAGTCTTGGAGCGAATATGATTAGGTTTGGAGTAAAATTACTTGCAACCAACTCTACGCTACTGAGGGTTCATGTTTTATTTATTAAAACGAATTTGATAAGTTAAATGTATTAAGTTCGAAAAGTAAAATTACCCAAAGATCCAACTATATAAATTTGAAGATAGCTGGGCGGCCTAGTAGATCACATGACAAAGCTGTTTCTCCCTCGTGGGGGGCCTGTGTTTGATTCCCGTCTGTGCCAAAGACGCTATCAAAAAAAAGAAGAAGAAGAAGGCTCGCTAATTTTTCTTCATGTTCAATCTCTCTATATGAACCTGTCAAAGTGTGCACAGGAAAGCTCTAAACCGCATGAACCTAGTCGTCTTAGTGGTCTAATTAATCATATGTTGGGTGTAAAAAAATGAAGAAAGTCAAAATAAAAAAATAAACAAATAAAAAAGAAGAAGAAGAAGAAGATGGATGTCACTTTAGATTTCAAAATTATTTCAGCGGAACTTCTTAAGTTTTTAAATGTTGAAAATTGTCCCCAGCCTGTCAAGGTTGCCAATTGTTTTCCGACATTACGTGGGCCCGCTTTAAGTGTGGGCCAATCAGACAGCTGTGAAACATAAACCAGGCCGAATTAAAATAAACTAGACCCGAATCCGATCCCGCCGTTACCAAACAGTGCAAACACCCTCCCTCCATCGTCCAACTGTATACAATCCCTGACTTTGTCGGGCCTTTAATGGGTTATTTATGAGTCCCTCATATCTTCTACAATTACGTATCGATCCCTCAATTCTCTTAAATTGCTCATACATCTGTCAAATCCGAAGGGGTTTTGCAATTTGGTCGACCAAACACAGATGAATTTTGGAGGAAACATAAACTTATAGGGAGATTTTGGTCGTTGGTGGGCCAAACTGCAGGAAAACTTAGAATTTGAAGAACTGATGAGCAATTTCATCAGTTTCAGGGGCTAATGTGGAATTAGGGACTAAATTCCGAACAGCTCTTTTTTATTATTATTTCCTTTAACCGGCCAACGTTCCCCCCTCCTCATCTTCCCTCTCTCGTTTCTCTCTCCGCACAAAGCGCTGATATCAATCAGAGAGAGAATCGACGAGGAGGAAGACGGAGATTTTTTTTCTGAGAATCTCTCCGTCCTCTTCCTCCGATCCTCTCTTAATTCGACCGAACTCAATCTCGTCTCCTCTTTCCGTACATTTCGCGATTTCGATCGGCCAATTTCGATCCGGTACGTTCAGTTCCATCCAATCTGAACAAATTCGGCTGCATTTGGTTAATTGCGGCGCATAATGTGCAGAATTTTTTTTCAATTCTTGAAATCTTTTGAAATCTATCGCTAATTCTTTAGATTTCCCCCTTATGATTCAGTGTAGACAATCTTGGCATCAATTATGGAGATGGTATCGGCGAGAGCTTCCCCTGGCTGTGATAGCCTGTGCTTCTTTTGCCCTGCATTGAGGACCAGGTCTCGGCAGCCGATCAAGCGATACAAGAAGATGTTGGCTGAGATTTTTCCCAAAACACAGGTTTTGACGATTGCACCTTTTGTTCTCATCTCTCTCTCTCTCTCTCTCTCTATTTGGGTGTCGATCGATATTTCGATTCGTTGTGGCATGGTCGATTGTGATAGCCACTGCTTATGACAGCAAAATGGTTGCTGTTGCTGAACTGTTGCTCACTTTCTGTGATGTAATATTTCATATCATATTGCACGGAACAAATAGAATGTACGGAAACAATCTGAATTTTCTTCGTTCGAGATTGATTGTCTAACATATAGAATTAAGGATCCGCATTAATAAGGTATGAACTTGTTGGACTCAGGACATGGATATGGATATGGCACGAGCTTTTCCTAGGCTCACATAAATCTTAAATACATATTTCCTATCTTTTTTAGCACCATGGTGACGGATGAAGCAACATAAGGATTCTCCTCCGATAATTCCAAGTAAGGAGATGTTTGGCAAACGACATTTGTCAGAAAGTTTAGGAAAGTTCAAGAATATTCACTCAAGTTTTTATCGATTCCATTCTTGGCACATGGAATTTGGAAAAGAAAGGGAATGAAAACTAAAGTTTCTAGATTTTATGGCATGCCCGACCACATAAGATTAGAGGGTGGTTGTCATATGGAATTTGCAAAGGAGCTCAGGGAAGTTGGAGAACCTTCAATCAAATTATAGTAGTTAATTTACTTCTCATATGCTAAACAAAGAGTGGTGTGGAATTTGCACTTTCTTTCTTTTGATGTCGGAAAGGGTAATATTATCTCTACTTTCTTTCTCTTGTAACTAGTTTCAGAAGACAAAAACTGAAAGTTGATACAAGAATGTTTTAGGACTACTACTAGTAGCAGTGGCTATTAAATAAGAGTTTCTATGCACTTTTGTTGGCGGAAGACAAAAACATTCCCAGTCATTAAACACCTAAATGTTCTCATGGTTTCTCTTTTGAAAGCCAAGTATGTTATGTGGTCAGAGATGATGACAATTTAGTACCCTAGTTCCATTTCTTGATCCTTTCTAAATCCTTCAGTAGTCCTCCTGCTAATTATGTAGGATGTGAGATACCATCCTTTTTCAAAATTGCAAATGCTGTTTGGTTCATGGTTGATCGTGACAAGTGGGGTTAGCAAGTACTCGAGGATGAGTTATATCAGCAGAAGCAAAGGACTTGCTGAGAGTCCTTTTTGGGATTCAACTTAGGCTCTGTAAAGTTCTTTTTTGGTTTGAACCCATTGTGTTTGTTCTATTAGATTTTTTTATTTTAGTTTCTATCTTTTTTTCGTTTTCAATCTCTCAAAATGAGATCAACGTTCACCAGAATATTTCCTTGAGGTGATGCAATCTGACAGATCCAATGGTCGATTGCTTGGCTGAAATGAAAGAGAAAAAGGGGATGAGCACGTTATGATACTATTCATGTTCGGAGACGAAGAAACTATATATTCGTTTAGATATTTTAGTTCTTTCTTGGACTGTCACTTGTTTTCTTCTCATTAAGACTTGCAACTGTATCTTCATTTAGGTATTTTAGTTCTTTCTTGGAGTTTCGTTTGTTCTACTGTCCTTTGTTGCTGCTTATTGCTACAGCAGTCCTATTATCCTATATAAAGTCTGAACCTGTCATTTTGTGTATAGTACTGCAATGATGGGCAGTTTGCAGGTCTCTTCCCTTCATTCCCTTGTTATCCTTTCTGTCCTTGAATCTCTTTTCTATGCCTAATATGTTTCTTTTCTTTCTTGACACCTGGCCTCTGTGCTCTCCTTTCAATTTTGTTCTTCTTCTGCTTCTGCTTTTCTGTGTTTCTCTCTCTTTGTAATAAAATGTTGAAGCCTTAATTTGAGTGCATTCTGAACTCTCAAGTGGCTCGCGCTTGTATGTATTTCTGATATGAACTTGTTACTTGTATCGTTTGAGCACCGTGTGTGTGAATATTATCATATAATGCAATCATGGTTATTTAGTGATTTGGATTTTCCTGTCATGCAAAGGTATTATTACAAAGCAATCTTATCTAACTTGTTTTAGTTTTAGATTTAATTTGATTTGAGTTCATGACATGCAATGAATTCTGTGTTGTAATTTAGTTGTTTACTGATATTCCAACTTGATTAATAGTACCTTCATATATTAAAGTTGTTAACTAAAGTGTGATTATACTCGTCTCACAGGATGAAGCACCAAATGATAGAAAAATCAGTAAATTGTGTGAATATGCTTCTAAAAATCCACTGCGCATACCAAAGGTAAATTGCTGGTTTCCCCATTGTCTTCAGTGTTCGACTCAAGTTAAGATTACTATAAGAACATGCAAATGTAGCCTCTTTCTTCAATTCTAGGTCTCTGTTATCCAACCAGTTAGTTTCCACTTACCTGTACTGGTTGCCTCTTACTTTTGAGTTCCTTGAAAGTTGATTTGGTTTGGAAATTTCATTCACAAGCCAACATCAAGATAATTATACACAACAAAATGATTTCTTTAGTTTTAACTAAATTTATTTTTGTCATTAATAAATCAAGCTTCTTGGTTTCTTCAAAGTATTCATCTAGGTACTGTCTGGGAAAGGCATATGGGTATAGCCTATACCTGTTATTGGGTATTAGAAATTTGTACCTCTAGGTATTATGTACTTGGTGCATGAGAGAGTCATATGCTTAACTAGCATTTTGGATATTAACGACAGACTGCGTTATGTTAATTTCGAGCTAAGTACATTATATGTTTTCACCAGGTATTGTTTATATGCTAAACACAGAAGTAAGAGTCTTATTTAGGATAACGATGTGTAGTATATCAGCTTGTACCTGTTCCCATCTATGTTAGAGGAGACCTACTGGGCTTTACACGTACCTTTATAATGTTATTTTTCCAAATGGCAAGCTAATGCACTCTGTTTCCTACTGAAAAGTAACTATCGTAAGTTGTCTTACTACACATTCTTTTTTCATGCACAATATGAAAACCGCAATAATGATTCGTTTCAGCAAGTTCATACATCTGCACTCTACTGCGTAACTAACATTTTGTTTTTTTATATGAACAAACGAGTCTGTTTGCCTTCTTTCTTGAAATAATGAAGATGACTACCCATAAAAGAGATTACACTTTGGTAGAAGATTTTATTAAAAAGATTTTATTTTTATTATGTATTTCCTTATTGAGTTAGATATTTGAGGAAAGTTTAAAATTAGTCAACTTCAGTTCGGCTACAAGCGTTTGTCCTTTTAATTTTAGTCTTTATGCATTGATTTCTTTCTTATGTGTTTTGTGAATTCACATTTTAACTGATTAGACTTTTTAAAATTGAATTTTTTCTGGCAGATTACAAGTTATTTGGAGCAAAGATGCTTCAAGGAATTAAGAACTGAGAACTTCAACTCAGCAAAAGTTATCATGTGCATTTACCGTAAAATGCTAGTTTCTTGTAAGGAGCAAATGTGAGTTACTTATTGCTTGAAATTTCTTGACTGCTTGTTACTTGGTTACTTCTTAGGTCATGTAAGTGCTGCCAGATGGTTAATAGCTGAAATTTGTGTGCTCTTCCCTGATACAGATTAAGTCATTTTATCATGAATACATAGTGTTTTTTATGTCAGGAAAATGGTTGTTCAATTAGTTTTTCACATTTATGAAGAGAACATTCCGCGTTCATCTTCTTAAGTTTCATACATAAACAGAAAATCAAATAACAGACCCAAATCCTCCAATGCTAACTGTTAAATATCATAGAAATTTTCAGACAGTAAGTATTTCCTTATTTCCTACATTTATTTCAGATGTCCCCCTGTAGGCAGGACCAGAACCAAGTCGAGTTGGGTGGCATATGCCCGTAATGACCCCATAAAAAGCTTGAGATAGGTCTAGCGACGACAAAACAAGGGAGAACATGTTAACATGGTTTAGACAAGTGTAAGGATGATCATCAAGTCACCAGTTGTTAGGACTCTGAAAACATAGTTGATAGAGAGGAGCAGGGTAGACCTAAATGCATGTGGACCAAAATTGTTAAAAAAGGATTTGATGGTTATTAATGAAAAGAGTGGCATCAAGTCATCAGTTTAGGGAGGGCAAAAGCTTGGTTGATCACAAAGATAGGGTGGACCTAAGTGCATGTGGACCAACATGGTTAAAAAGGATTTGATAATTATAAATGTAATAGATGAGATGCCCACAAAGAGAGATGTAAAGGGAGCAAGTATCAGTCATCCAAGTGGGAGGAACAGAGAATGGTAAGCATTATAGGGAAAACATACAAGAATTTGGAAGCATGCAGTTAAGAAGGATATGATGGTGGTTAACTTAATGGAGGACATGACTCTTAAAAGAACTGAATGGAAGAACTGCCTTTTTTTGTTTTTTGTTTTTGTTTTTTTGTTTTTTTGTTTTTTTTTGGGGGG